TAAGCTCAAAAATTCAATTGGTGCTAACAGGAACGATCGCGTTTACATTTGGTTCCCGTTTGTAACCAATTCTGAACTTTCTAGGCCGAATACTCACTGTGATATTTTTTTTTACTAGATACGACCTTTATTTATCCAGTGATGGAATGTATGGACTTCGTGAAGAAAACAACACATGGACTGGTTTGGTGAATGATTTGATGACACAAGTAAGGCGTTACTTGGCAAAGTTGGATGATGATGCACAGTATGGCATTATTTACATCTTACTTCAATCACATGAACCCGGTAGACGCTTAAAAGTTATCATGTGTTTTTGGCTCCGACTGACCATCTGTTAATTTTGATGTTGAATTAACTGAGTCCTGTATGCAGGCATTTATCGATTATTGAATCTCTATCCAGTATTTCGGAATCAGTATGCTCACATGTGTTCACATGAACAATTTACGTTGATTGTGTATTGTATTATGAAGTTACTTGAGCACAAATGTGCTGTTGTGTGCTTTGAATAATTGGTATCTTGTGTCACACTGAATGTTAAATTTCCATGAGCAACCCCACAAGTTTCGCAAGAATGTGACCTTGACCTTCATAAATCCGTTAGTGTTCAACCGTAATCACACACGGACATCATTGATTGTTAATAAGCAATCTCATTCGAATCATTTAATGAAATAGGAACAAAAACTCTGATTACATCTTTTCTGATATTGTGTTCCTCGCATTTTACCTTGTAGAGGATCGATATGATCGGAGCTCCGATGACGCAAACAGTCGAACGAGCGATGGAAATTCAATTTCTTGGATCATTCATGGACGAGGGTTTGGGGATCTTGATGGCCAGTCCGAAAAGAAATACGGGCCTATTTCTCATGTTCAAACCATTCACAATCAACGCATGGTTAATGTGCCTGGGCTCGGTATTTCTCTCCGCTTTCGTCCACTGCATGATTCAGCGTTGCTATCTGACTTATGCTGGAACGTATCCTGTGATACCGAGAGAGATCTGTTTGCGAGAGCACACATGGTCTTATGTTCGTAGCCTCTTGGCTCTAGGTAGGTGGTTATTTTGTTCCCAAGGGCTCTCCGGCTTGAAAGTACAGATAAGTAGCTTAGGCTTTTTTCATAGGCGCTGTGTTCTCTTTGATAGGTTCCATTGTTCGTGCAATCTCGCTAATTTCCCAGACGACCTTCGCTTATTTTTGTGAGGTGCGGAGGACCACATTCAAGTGGGTTATTGTATTGGTTTTATATTGTTTATGCACTTTGGTGATATTTGGTGGCTCTAAATTTGTTCATTATTTTATGGGTCAAAGTGAGATTTGTGAAAAAGTAACAATCGTTAGTTTTGTATATATTTGACAAATAGCAATAACAATGATAACAAACTTAAGGGCAATGATGGGAATCTTTTAGTAGCATGTTGACAAAACATGCATTATATATATATATATATACCTTTACATCCGACTGACAAAACCTAATGTATGTTTTGCCTCCATGCTACTAAAAAATTCCTATTATTGCCCTTAAGTTTGCTATCACTGTTATTGCTATTCGTCAAATGTATACAAAATAAACGATTGTTACTTTTTCACATCTATCTATCTATCTATCTATCTATCTATCTATCTATCT